ATTATTATCTATTACTGTAAATTTATTACAATATATTATTTCTGTATTGTTGTATTTATAGCTTCAGACATAACAATTGAAATCTTATTTTTTAAATAGAAATGTATTAATTATTGAGTTAAATATCCTAATTTATTATAAATTTTGTTTCAAAATAAAAAAGAAGACAAGTTAGGTAGTAGGTCAATATTTGCCAAACCGACCATTTATGTTTTATGGGATAGCAGTTATCAATAATCGGCTAAGTTTTGATGTTTATGAATGAATAGGAAATACCGTGCCCTCATGTCTTATTTCCATTTTTAATCACAATCATTAAAACTTTTTTTTATCAAAAGAAATCTTGAAGTTATAATTTAGACAAGTTAGTTGCTTTGAGAAACTCAATTTAGAAAAAAAAAAAAAAAACCAGAGAAAATTGCCGTTATATTTGATATTGAGAATTTGCGTCAAGTAAAAAAACTCATACTTAAAAATGATACAAGAACCATTTCATTGCAATATATGATTTTGAAATCAAGATTCGAAAAACGTAGTAAAAGACGTTTGTGATATGTTGGTACTAATATTTTTAGCCATCACTATTGTGATTAGTTGATACTAAAAGACCTTAGTTGATAGATTATTGATTGTTAATTTTAATGATAAAAATTTAAGATAAATTATCATATATACTAATAATGAAAATTTTTAATTTTATTAATATGATTTAATTAAAAAATAAAAAATATATCACCTTATTAATCTCATTTGTAAATTTTAAAAAATTACACTTATAATGTACCAAATAATTTCACAAAATTCAAAATTTGCTTATCTCAAATACAAAAAAAAAAAACTCGTTTCAAAACCAAATTAGTAGGGCTGGAATTAATGATGTTGAAAGGAATTTCAAGCATTGTGGGTCAGAGTCCAAAAAACAAATGAACCTTAGATGTTAAATACTTTGGGCCAATGGTCCAGAGCTTTCAGAAGTAAGGGCCTGGACTTCAACGGAACCTAAGTTGAATGTTGAAAGCAAGATTTAGGACTTACTCCCCGTTTCTGACATTCAATTAACATCTCCTACCCGCCAAGTACTAACCAAGTCTGTCCTCGTTTCTCTCTTGAAACGATCGTTAAAGCAAAAATGGTTACCAGTCTTCTTGTTATTGCCATCTTCTTTATCATCTCTTCACACTCAAAAGCTCTCCGATTCCCTCAAGAACTCTACAATCTTTCCTTAAATGAAATCTTCATTGTTGATAGCCCCTCAGGGCCACCTTCTACGTCAGCCTCTCCCACCCCATTGCTATCGCCAACAACTCCTGCAGTTTCTTCCCCTCTGGTCCCTGCACTCTTCATTATTGGGGACTCCACTGTTGACTGTGGCAACAACAACTTTCTTGGTACCTTTGCTCGTGCTGATCACCCTCCTTATGGTCGAGATTTCGACACCCATCAGCCCACTGGACGCTTCTGCAATGGAAGAATCCCTGTTGATTATCTTGGTAAAAACTGTGTCATCTTTCTTCTTTCTTGTTCTTGTTCACTTCTTTTCCATTTGCTTTCTTTCCGGTTCCTGAGAAAGAGAGGAGGAAGAGAAAATAAAGAATTGAATTTTTTTTTTATATCTTGTTTGCTTTTTGTTAAGCTGGTTTTCAAGAAATGAAGATTTCAATGAAGACGTGTGGTTGAATTAATTTTATTGTTTTTCATTTCTTAATACATGATTGTTATTTTTCAGTTTATATTCTTTTGGGTGCTGGGTAACACTGGACTAGTTATAAATCCTGATTTTCTTTTTCCGTTTTGGATTTTGATCACTTTTAATCAGCATTGCATCTTGGACTTCCCATCGTGCCGAGTTATCTTGGACAAGAAGGAGAGCTCAAGGATATGCTTCATGGAATCAATTATGCATCTGCTGCTGCTGGCATTATATTCTCAAGTGGATCAGAGTTGGTATGATGAACCATATATATTTCTGTCAATAGTCTTCTTCAGGATATTAGCTTAGTTATTTCATTGACCAGTGAAGTAAAATTTGGGTTGAAGCTGTTATAAGTGCCTCTCTTCTGATGTATATCATGTGTGATTCAGAATTAAAACTCCCTTGCTTGGCAAATGGCTATTGTGAAAGAGTATAATAGATCCCTGTAGCCTTGTGCCCTAGCTGGCATGTTTTTCATTTTATTTTCTATGTTTTTAGAGCACATGTGGACTCATGTTCCTGTCAATACATATATATAAGCCTTTCATATGTTTTGCTGTTCTAAGATGTCAATTGAAGTTGTACTAATCATTACAGTAATGAAATATTTATAGCATCTGTTCTTCTTGTAGGGTCAGCACATCTCGTTCACCCACCAGATTCAGCAGTTTGCTGATACTTACCAGCAGTTTGTTTTAAGTATGGGTGAGGATGTAACAATTGATTTCATCTCAAGTTCGGTGCTTTACATTTCTATTGGGACAAATGACTATATACATTACTATTTGCGTAATGTATCTAATGTGCAAAATCTATACCTACCTTGGGGTTTCAACCAGTTCTTAGCATCTACAATGAGACAAGAAATTAAGGTGACCATCACAGTCTTCTGTTGTTTTGGTTTACTTCTCCACATGCTGCCTTATATCTAAATGCTGAGTAGCCAGACTAATTAAGTTTGTAGTCCCTGTAGTTGCTTCCTTAATTTCATGCTCAATTCAAGTTTTCTACTCTGCAATTGTTGATGTTGGTAATTTTCAAATTACTTTGTACTAGCAATTTTGGCTTCGGGAACTCCCTGACCTGTAAATATAATTGGTAAAACAGAACTTGTACAACATGAATGTTAGGAGACTGGTGGTCATGGGGCTACCGCCCATCGGTTGTGCTCCTTACTACTTGTGGCGGTACAAGAGCAACAGCGGAGAGTGTATTGAAGAGATAAATAACATGATTATGGAGTTCAACTTTGTCATGAGATACATGACTGAGGAGCTTCTTCATGAGCTTCCTGATGCTCGCATAATTTTCTGTGATGTGTTTCAAGGGTCCATGGATATAATTCAAAACCATAAGCGTTATGGTAAGATCATCTTAACCTTTTTTTTTTTCTATGCATACCTCTAAATCTAATGTTCATGTTGTGTACTCTCATTCAGGTTTTAATGCCACAACCGATGCTTGCTGTGGGTTAGGGAAATATAAAGGTTGGATCATGTGCATGTCAGGAGAAATGGCCTGTCCAAATGCTTCCAACCACATTTGGTGGGACCAGTTTCATCCAACAGATGCAGTGAATGCCATCCTTGCGGACAATGTGTGGAGCAGCCGCCACACAGAAATGTGCTATCCCATGAACTTGGAAAAAATAGTTGTCGACAAGCCTGAGTAACCTAATATAAAATCTTCAACGATGCTTGAAATATTTGATTCCTCTGCTACCAGGTAGCATCCTTAGCTGCTACATTTGTTACTGGCAAAACAAAGAGTGACACTGCTAATTTCCGACTGCTTTAATGATAGAATAACAGAATATTATTTCATTCATGTTTCGGTCCAGTGTTGTTTTTAAAAGAAGTTGTCATAGTATCATCTTCAGTTTCTGATCTCAGCACAAAAATAGAAAGAGCAGTTGTCATGTCTCTCAGTCCCTAGAATGTGAAATCCCACCCACAGTTAATTACCTCTGCTATGCTATGATCGTAGAATTGGTACTGTGGAATAGAATTCTAAAGCTATATATAAGTGGACTCTTATATAAAGAATGACTTCATAAATACCACAGTTTATTGATGTTTCATTCTTTCATCCCTGCTGATTCGATTTTTCACTAATGATGTGGATGCATTTATAAATGCACTCCACTATATATTTGTATATCAAAGCAAATTTTATATGTAAATAATGTTATAAAAACCAAAGGAATTAGGTCTTCCAGTATGTAAATGAGATTGTTGAGAGCATATAAAGATGATTTAACTATTTGGAAACTGGATTAAAAAAAAAAATAGAAGCAGCAATAGAGGAAATTACTTCAGATATGGGACAGTCATATTTTTTTAGCAAGGATAGTTCCGGATCGATTTTTCCATTTCTATTTGAATCTGCATCTTCAAATGTCTGCATAAGCCATTGCAAGGTTAATTACAACGGCATTTACAATATCATTAGAAAGAATCAAGCCTGATTCATGTAGAAGAGCCCTATCATCTTTTTTATCTTTAATCAGGAAGTTCACAATTGGCCTAAATGCCTAAGATTTATGGTTATCAACTATGGGAGTTTATAAACTAACCACTCTGGGAGAATCCAACAATGTAGAAATTAGCCCTAAAGATTTTAGACTTACTAGAGTAAACATTATAAGTAGCATTAAGGTGCCTGTTAAATTTTGTGGCAACACTTTGCATCTCATCTAGTTTAGCCATCATCAAGTAACTAGCTAACTAAATCATAACAATCAACGAGGTAAAACAAACTTTGAGCAAGTTTTCATTGAAAAAAAAAACTTTTAAGTTAGTAGAATGTGAAGTGGCATTGAATTTTTTTTTAAAACAATTAAATTAAACCAGCTAGTTTATATATTTATTTATTTATGAGGAGAGATTTACTTACACTAATATACGAGATTAAATTACATTTATACTTATAAATTTTTGAGTAAATATCATTTTAATTTTAAAATTTTAAAAAATAATTTTTTTGATATTTAATAGATAAATATCATAACAAATTGATCATTTTTAAAACCATTAATTTTGGTGTTAAATGACAAATGTCACTTAGTCCACCGATTGGTAATGACATGTAAATTTCCTTTTATAGTCATATAGACTAACATGTATTTTAAAAACAAAAAAGTTAATGTCATTAATGATCCTTAAATTATAGTAAAATATCTAATATTACATTTGAATTTTAAAAATATTGTACTCAATTATGAATTTATTAGTTAAAGTAGTATTCACTTATAATGTGACTAATTTTAAATAATGATATGTAATAGATAAATAACCTTACAAGTATCATGTGTAGTAGTATTCTTTTTTCCCCTTCTGATTGCTGCAAGCAGGCTCAGCTACCAGTGGACATGAGGGCATCACTGGCACCCAGCAGTCAAAATAACATCCCCGTATCAGTTAGGCAGGTATGTAGTGCCTTGCATTGCATCTTTGCTTTCTGACAACCATGCTTGAGTATCCCTTTTTTAATAGTATTCACCCTGCTCTTCTTATCTTTAGATACAAAAATTAGAGATTTTGTAGATGGAGGTGGATAATTCATAATTTTTTTTTTTATACAGGCACAGCCTTACTGCATGGCAGAACACTTCTTAAGAAAAGCAAATCTACCAATTATTCGCAGAACTGCAGAAACGGAGTTGGATGTTGCTGATGCAATTAATATTGAAAGAGAGGTTGCTGATAGGTCAAACAGCAAAGTAGTATATTTGAACTTGAGTTCCCAGGAGATATTGCATCATTCAGATGACAGTAAGTGTATTAGAGCCAAAGAATCAGATACTTCATCCCCTTCAGAAATCTCTATTGATAGGCAAGACCAAGGTACTGATGCGTGTTCATCAGATCCTGTGGTTGTGGAAGCACTTAGAAATGCAGGCCTTTTATTTGATTCCTCTTCAAGTAGTCCACATCATACAACCGAAGTCCCTAATGAGGTAGATGATTCCCCAGAAAAAATCAGGGAAGAGGAGCCTGTTAATGTATTTGAAATGGATTCTCATTTGGGGGCAGATATTTATGGTGATTTTGAGTATGATCTAGAAGATGAAGATTATATTGGTGTTACTGCTGAAAAGGCTCCTAAGCTACAACCTGAAGGTGTGTCAAAAATGAAAGTAGTGTTCTCCACCGTTAGCATGGAGAGGTCAAAATCAAATAACCTTGCAGATTCAGAGGATCATGAGAAGTTGGGGAATTTTGTGGTACCCGATAATTCTTCCTGTTTGCTAAAGTATAAGAATGATGCTGTGATCAAATGCTCAACTGTGGATGATGGGACTGTTAGGTCTTGTGCTGTTCTGGAATCCTTACCTGATGAGGAAGGTGAAGAGCTTTCCATTGCAGAATGTGAAGAATTATATGGCCCGGACAAAGAGCCACTGATAAATAAATTTTCAGAAACATCCCAAAAGATATATGGATTGGTTCATGCAGAAGCTCCGGTAGAGAACACAGCTACTAATGATAACGAAAAACATGTATTGCATCATAGAGTAAATGCATCTAAACCTGGAATTCAGAGCAACGAAGGAAATAAAGTTGTTGACACACTTAGTCATGGCTCATTTGGTGGAGAAAGTTCTGCTGACCAAATTCAAACAGTTGAAAATGTAAAAGAAAGAGATCAGAAATCCAATACAGAGACAGACAAGCAGTCTGATCATGCTAATCCTGTATCCAAGAAGGTACTGCATAATGCATCTTTTTGTTTTTTTTTTTCTTCCCCGATGCAAGTGATATAGAATTCTTTGGTAACTATAGTATCAATTTCACAGAACTGAGTAGGACTATGGACATTTTTTGTATGTCAGGGCTTGTTTTCTTTGCAGACTTGCATTCAGCTGTTCATACTTTTAATGCTTTACAGGTGGAGGCCTACATCAAAGAACATATTCGGCCGCTTTGTATAAGTGGTGTGATAACAACTGAACAATATAGGTGGGCCGTGGCAAAAACCACCGAAAAGGTTATGAAATACCACTTGAATGCCAAGAATGCTAATTTCTTAATCAAGGAAGGTGAGAAGGTAAAGAAACTTGCTGAGCAATACATCGAGGCAGCCCAGCAAAAGGAAAAAGGTGATCTTCAATGATAACTTTCATATAATTCCTTAAAGCACTTGCGCATTTCTTTCAGAACTTCCATCCCCCCGTGTTTTGGTCGTTAAATTGTGGATGGTTGAGGCCTTGAGGTGGCACATGCATTTTATAAAACGAGAATTTGACATAAACAAACTTGATTAGTAGGCCTGCCTTGGATGTGTATTTGCCCTTGTAGTCATAGCTTGTGAGATTTATGCTGAGGAATTTATGTTAGGCCAACGCATGATGTCGAGAAAATGTAAATCTGCAGCTGAGATTTTCATATCAAAGATGGTGACATGCGCTATACGCGCATTATCAGAGCATGGATGGCGTTTCTTTCTCCTTCAACTCAAGAAGCACATTAACAATTCCACTACTTATTTACTGGTTTTGATGATGGTCTGTTTTACGTTTTTTGCTTTAGCAGTCATTGATGTTTGAAATGTTTTATAAAAAAAAAAAATAAAAAAAAAATGAAACAAAACAAAATCAAAATATAACCTACGCCTATGAAAAATGTGCTGAGATAATAAATTTATTTATCCTGAATTGAAAGGAAAATCTGAATCTCGACACTATATGAGAAAATTAAAGGTTAAAATATTAAAAAAGTCTTTAAATTATAATATTTTAAAAATAAATTTTTATATTTTTTATCTAAATAAATTCTTATTTTCTGATTTGATTTCAAATAAAATTTTATTTTAAATAAAATATTTATTTAAATACAAATTAAAAGTTAAGGTTTTATTTAAATATAAATTAAAGGGTTTATTTTGACATAAATTAAAGATCAAAATTTTATTTGAATGTAATTAAAAATATAAAATTTATGTAAATAAAATGATAAAATTCATATATATTTTTAATTATTTTAGCCAAAACTAAGCCCAATGCCAGAAAGGAAAATTCAGAAAGTGAATGGAAGAAGCAGGAAAAATAAAGTTTTGTATGCTTCGTGAAAAATGATTTTTAAAAAGTAATTTTTATATTTTTAAATATTTGTTTTGTAGAAAATTGATTGGTAAATAAAAAATGATTTATTGATCAATAGAAAATGAAGTTATTTTTTTAAAAATTATCTTATGAATTTAAAAAAAAAATGATATTTTTTGAAAAAAAAAATTGTTCATGAGTATAATTATTTATTAATACTTTTTAGTATAGTTTTATTTATAAATAATATTATATTAATAAAAAGTATTATATTAATAAAATAATATTATATTGTAATATATTAATAAATAATATTATATGAATAAATAATATACAATCAATATGATATATTAATGAAAATATTATAATATATTAATAAATAATATTATTATATATTAATAAATAATATATTATTAATAATACTATATTAATAAATAATAATAAAATAATATTATAATATATTAATAAATAATATAATAATAATTATTAATTTAATTAATCAATATTACAATAATATATGAATAAATAATATACTATTAATATAATATATTAATAAATATTATTAATTAATAATATTATAACATATTAATAAATAATAAAAAGAACAATAAAAAGTTTTATTTTAAGTATTTTTATAATAATATTTTAATATTAAATAATATTATTAAAATATAATTAATTTTAATATTAATAATTTTAATAATAAATAATTTTTAATATTTTAATAGTTACATTAATATTATTTGAAAAAAATAAATTAAAAAAAAACTAAATAAAAAAATATTTTTCATTAAGTCATCTAAATAATAAAAAAACTCTTTCAATTCAAAAAAAAAAATTTTTTTTTAAATATTTTTCAAAAATTTTTTTAAAAATATTTTTCAAAAATTAATTTTTACAAAATATACGAACCTAAACTTTATCTTTACTAGAGAAGGCAAAAAAACTCGTACCTGACGAGTTTCGGTCAGACCGGTCGATTTTTTTTTTTTTTTAAATCAAGTGTAGGATCGAGTCGGGTCGAATAGCATGAAGAAAAAATCGAAGTCAGGTTTTAGATAAACTTGACCATACTCAACCCTATATATATATATAAATAATTTTTTAATTAATTATTTATATATATATATATTTATATAATGATATTTTTAAATATTTATATTTAAAAAATAATATTTTATATTTTAAAAAATAATATTTTATTAATTTTACATTGGATCAAGTCAAGTACAATTTATATATTGTCAGATAAGATCGAGTTCGAGTATGAAAAAACAAAAAAAAATTTGGATAAACTTAAATTCGAATTTATTAAAATATTAAATCGGATTGAGTTCAAGACAAATAAAATTCACTTTGAACCCGATCTGATACCAACCTTAATTTTTAGGCAAGAGTAAAAAAAAAAGAATTCTTAAAATGAAAATAACCAAAAAGGAACCACCTTAGCGGGCAAAAAAAAAAAAAGGGAACAACCTTCAAATATTCCAAGGTGGGTTTAGGCTGAGAAAATGACTATATCTTCCTACCAATTCCTCTTTTTAAACCCTATTTCTCTTCGTTTTGCTGAAAAAAATGACTACCACTGGAACTCTAGTCTCAGCTAGGGTTCATTTTCCAAAACCCTACTATCAAATCATTCCCCAAACGAATAGAACCCTTGAATTTGACCCGAAAGGTCCGATCAAGAACTTCATTTCTTCACCTATCATTCACGGTTCTGTGCGAATTAGAATGCTCATAGCCTGGTGACACTAGCAAGCCCAAAGGGGATGATTTTGTGACTAGGTTTTTGAAGGAAAACCCTAGCACCCGGGTACCTTGTTGGCAATAAGATTTACACGTTGAAGGAAAAAGAGGATTTAAGTAAAGGTACTATGCTGGGTTTGATTGAAATTTTGAAGAAAAAATTGAATACAAAAATGAAATCGAAAAATGAGAGCAATGAGAGTGAGACTTAAATGAATAGTGAAAATGACTACGTGTATTTGAAGGATATTTTGAGGGAGTATAAAGGGAAGCTTTATGTGCCCGAGCAAATTTTTGGGGCAGAGTTATCAGAGGAGGAGGAATTCGAGAAGAATGTGGAAGAATTACCCAAAATGAGCTTGGAAGATTTTAGGAAAGCTATGAAGAGTGATAAGGTTGAATTGTTGACTTCCAAGGAGGTTTCTGGAGTTTCTTATGTAAGTGAGTATAGGGACTTTTTTGTGGATTTGAAGGATATTCGAGGTGACAAGAGCTTGCAAAGGACTAAATGGTGAATCCTAATATGACGCAGATTTTTTAAGTTGTATTTCTTTGCAGTTCTTTGATAATATTTCTATGCCGTTTCTGTTATCTTTGTAGGGCAATGAGGTTAGATGAGAGTGAAGCTCAAGCTCTTTTAGGAGAGTACACTGGACAACGATATGAAATTGAGAGAAACATGACGGTGATCAATCATTGAACTCCTCTTTCATTCTCTAGTTATACATGAAATTTTACCTATGAGTTTTATAGATTTAAGTAAAGTACCAGATGGCTGTAAGGAAGATATATTTTGAAAGCCATGGATTCGTTCTCCATTAGGACCATTACCTGTGTTTTGATGTATATGGGCCTTGGTTGTTTATGATAGTTATAGACAAAACCATCAACATAAGAATAAAATTGAACTGAAAATGGTGAAGTTTACATCTAAATAGCATGATTATAGTTCCTGTTATAATATTTGCCCTGATTAATTAAATTTTATGTAGCATGACTATGTTGAATTCGGTTAGTATTATTTTTTGATTTACTATTCATGTTATATCTTTCCTTGATATTTTTTGGAAAAACAGTGTGCACAAATACAATGTGGATAATTGCATATGTTATAGGTATTGAAGCATTTTTGGTACCTTTACCACTTGTAATGCAGTCTTGGGTGGGAAAAGTGCCAGAGTTTCCTTGTCGGGTGGCTTCTTCCATATCCAGCAGAATGATTGTAGAGCTTGGAATGGTGACTGCTGTAATGGCTACTGCAGCAGTTGTTGTTGGAGGGTTCCTAGCAGCTGCTGTATTTGCTGTAACTAGTTTTGTCTTTGCAATAACTGTATATGTTGTCTGGCCCATAGCCAAATCATTTGTTAAACTTTTTCTAGGTATCACCTTCAGTATATTAGAGAGGATTTGGGATAATCTTGTTGATGTGTTCAGTGATGGAGGGATTTTCTCCAAGTTGTATGAATTTTACACTTTTGGTGGTGTATCAGCCACTCTTGAGATGCTAAAACCAATCACATTTGTCCTTTTAACCATGGTTCTTCTTGTCCGGTTCACACTTTCAAGACCTAAGAACTTCAGGAGATGGGTAAACATTGCTCATTTATGCAAATTTTATTATTGAATCTGGTTTATTTCAAAAAGTTTGGAAATAATAGTGTTCATAAAATGGCAGGACTTATGGCTAGGCATTGATTTTTCTTGATCTAAAGCAGAAGCTTGTGTTGATGTTAGTCTTGAAATATTGCTTCTTTGTCTTTATCTTACCAGATTTCTGTACTGCATTTATAAAGCTATTTTGAAAATCTATTCTTTCAGGGTTCAACATGGAGTTAAGTTTAGTGATGTAGCAGGCATAGATGAAGCAGTTGAGGAGCTTCAAGAGGTATCTGTTTTTCCATCTTGAAATAGAGATGAAGGGCAAGCATGCTTTCCTGTTTGAGTTGTGCAAAAAAAAGTTTTTTTTCCCATTTCTTGCCATCCATGTTATAATACATACGAGAGTCTTCTGTTGTTATTAATGGTGTCTTGTTAACTCCTAATATTTTTTTAGTTTGTGAGATATTAAAAGAATCCAGAACTATTTGATAAGATAGGAATAAAACCTCCTCATGCGGTTCTTCTGGAGGGCCCTTCAGGATTTGGCAAGGTGAGTTTTTCATTAACAGGTTTGCAAAATGTGCTGTTGAATTTCCTTATCTTTCTTTCTGAATCATCTCATACTTTTCCAGACCTTAGTTTTCAAGGCTATAGCTGGTGAAGCAGGTGTTCCATTCTACCAAATGGCAGGCTCAGAATTGTAGAAGTTTTAGTTGGTGTTGGTTCTGCTCATATCAGGGATCTATTTAAGAGAGCCAAGGTGATGATTCTATAAGTTTCTTATATTTTATTGTTATTGCAACAAGTAGCTGTTAATCATGGTCGAGTCATTATAATCTAGATTCCATATTTTGACACTTTATCTTGAAGAAACTTGTTCGGCATCCCTATAATAATTGAGAAACAGAGAAATCTTGCTGACATTTGGGGCACCCATGAAATCAGCTTACTGTATTAGTACTGCATTATTGGTTTTTATGCGATTGGTGCAGAATTCCTTTCATTTACAAATGCTTGGTGGTTCTATGTTCTTCGGGTCATTTATTGAGAAATTCATGATTTCTCTTTGCTGGTAAATAAACCATCTGTTATA